CAGACCACCGAGCTACCACAGCCCTCTGTGTGGAGCAGAGCTGCCATCTAGTGTGCCCGGAGGAGCAGATGGTGGAGGTTAAGGGCCTTGCTCAAGGGCACAGAGTGGGGCAAATGAAGGTGGAGGCAGGTGGGGGTGTTTCAGTCTGGGGAATCAATCTGGTGACCTTCCAATCACAAGCTAACCTTCTCTAACCGCTGCGCCACCACTCCCTGCTGTCTATTTCACAACCTACTTCTGTTTATACAATTATTCATTTTTGGTAAAAAAACAAAACAAAAAAAAAAACATAAATTTAATGTTCATATTTGATTGTAGTGGTTCTAATGTTGAAATTTTCATTTTTATTGTTTCCCATCGTGACAAAAAGGAAATTTTTTTGAGATCACATCAAAATTGCTATGAGTATTAGTTTGACTGGTATGTGACTGGTAGCTCCACAAAGCTGCTGGAGCTCACAGTGTAAATGTCTGAACAGAGCATGCTGCTGTGAGTGCACTCAGAACCCGTAGAAATGTCAACAGGTTGAAATTGTATAAACGTTTCACATGAAAGTCAGTCAGAGCAGTCTGGGGTGATGTCAGATAGAAATCAACCCAAACGAGCAGAATTTCACAGAACAGGACCTTACCGAAGACCCACCAGTGACATAATGGGACAAGTTTTATTTTGTTACACAATAGCATTAAAGCTTCCTGTGAAGTCGGTGTACATGTGGATGACTGATTAATTCAGCAAAGAACGTTTTAAAGATTCCAGTAGAATTTTTTTTAACCCAACAGAAAACACAAAAAGTGAAACTATCATCAGCTGATGGATGATTGTTTTGAAGATTTGTCTCGGGGTAATTCCCAAATTGATTGTGCACCTGTACGCATTTAAGCCTGCTTAAACCTGGTCTGTGAAAATAACTCATATTACAAATAAACTACCCAAAAGTTCTAGCCCGTGGATTTTACTGCCAGTTTCTGGATATTTATATGCGGTCAAATAAATTTTCAGAGCTTGCTCGGGTCCGTCACCGATCAGTGAATCAAAAAGAGGCATAGTCTTAATAAAATAATGAATGCATCATCCCTGTGCTCTTTATCAGGACAGCTCCAGATGAAAATTTATCATTTCACAAGCACTGAAAATCCTTAGTTACTGAGAAAATGTGATAGAAATATCTCCATCGGAGCGTTGCAATCCCAGTGTTTATTCATCTATGGCTTCTTCACTTATCCTAAAAGTCTTATCACTGACAATAGCCCTCAAATGCCAAACAGCAGCAAGGCCATCGCTGCACATTGTGGAAGGAGACTGCAAGGATTACAGACAGTATTAGATAGATATAAAGGTGGGGTACCTTCTTTCCTGGCCCAGTAACCTATTGATTCAAACTTGGTTCAGGTGAATGATGGGTACAAACCAGATTACAGCTGCACAGCCCAAGTGCGAGAGATTAGAGGGCATCTGAAAGAGGAGAAGGGAGCGGGTTTAGAGGGATGAGGGCGAGGAGAGGAGAGAGGATTATTGAAGCCAGAGCCTGGATACTAAAATAATCCTCTCAGTGTACTGGGCTTTATGCAACACCGGGCAGAGGCCAATTTGGGTTATTAAGTTGTCATTGCAATTACGTACCAAATTCTGAAAGTCCAAACTGTGAGAGGATCATTACCACAACCTCAGTTTGAGTCAGGGTGTTTTGGGATCGGTTCTTTAGTTTCTGCTTCTTTGCTGCACACGTGCACGCACTCGTACACACACACACACACACATGCACGCACGCGCTCATCTGCCTTAATCTGGAAAGCTGGTTGAGCGCTACATGTCTGTGTGTGTAGCGCTAAGCGCCCGCTTCTTTCCATGCTCAGTGTTCTAATTTAGGTATTGCCATGGTTATGTAAGATTGGGGGTCAGGAGGTCGGTGACGTTGCTGACAAATACCGGATGGTTGTTTCTCAGCGCTTTGGAACATAATGCGAGGCGTAATATAACCAACAAGGTGCAACAGAAGAGAATCTAAGTGAAAACAATCGGATTGTGTAACACACATAAACAGGGAACGAGGAAGTTTACAGCTGCGGAGCATACAGCAGTGTCCTTTGAAACGCAGGAAACCTAGTATTTTTGTCTTTTACAATAACCTCTGCTTTGTTTGTATGTGTGTGTGTGTGTGTGTGTGTTCTTTTGGTTTTTCTTATTTTATTTTGAGGAACTGTACAGTTCAGAACAAGTGGGAGAGGCCGAAAAGTCTCACATGCTCAGCAACATTTGAGCACTCGGGAACAATCACTACAAAACATACATGAGATGCTGAAAGACTGTGTTTGCTGATAAGCAACAGGACACTAAAGTGTCCATTGTGGGAAAGAACATGAGTGGGTTCACTACGCATGCTCACCCATAAGACAAGGGAGGGAGGGGTGCGAAAGCTGTGTGTTGTTCCACTAACCTACTTACCATAATCTCGCTCTTCTCCCCATTTCATAACTGTGCCTAAGTTACATGATACACTCACCATCTCGCCCATGCAGGCAAATCAATTATTTTCATCAGAGCCATTACCAGTGGGTATGGATTTTGTCCCAGTGCTGTGCACCAGCTATACTGATTTATTTCAGAGAATTCAAACACGTCCAGGCAGCAAAGAGAGGAACCACAACATACCTGGTGAATTTTAGAAAACCTTCACCAGATCAACATAAAGGCTGAAAACCTGTTTGTAAAATATATGATTTATAGTTTAAAAGTTACTGAGATATGATTGGAATGTTATTCCAATTTGATGCAAGAAAAAAATAATTCTACACCTGTTTTTGAACTCAACACTACGGTGAACACAGAAAGCAAAACAAACGCAGCACAACAACAAGTGTCCGCACCTAAATCCTCTGCTGAGATTAGTGTTGGTTAATCCGGTGATATAATTACAAGTTCTTACAATCCTGCAACAAGCTGAAGAAAAACTAAGGACACCGCTTCACTTCTCAACGTTGTATAGATATGTGAATAGTTATGTGTTTACAGAATAATACAGCGATTACACTGTTATTTCAGTGGTTCTCAAACTTTAAACTCTTCTCTTGTGTGACTTCAAACCTCTGTAGTTTTAAAACACAGTAGTTGTACATTTTTCATGACTTTACCTCCAGTTGTTTACCTCACTCAGTAATCTTGTGCATGTGTCTATGTGCTCACCAAAATTAATGTTAACAAAATCAATATTTAAAATTTGAAAATCAACTTAGACTCTTCCATATCTGCGATGCAATCCAAGTTTCCAACATTTTTGTGTATTAGACACTAAAAAAAAGTAGTAACATGAACCACCTTTACCCAATACCTGGTTGATGGGTGTGGTGTAAAAATGTATTATTTCACACATTCATCACTGAGAACAGCGTCCCTTATCCTTGTCTTTATGCCCAACAAGAAATAAATGCAAAATTTAAGATATCTGAAATTCTATATCCTTGCTATTTTACACCTTTTGTTGTTAGCAGTTTCTATATAGACTTCACTGCTCCTCAAGTAGCCATTAGCAAGATGATATCATCTAATACACTTTCCGCAGGGGATCTTTTGTGCAGATAGAAAAGGAACATCCTAAAGTCCAAACTCGTATCTTTTGTTTTGTTAATATTCAGTGAAAGGTTGTTCCCCTGAGCACCATTCTGCCAGTCATTGGATTTCCTCTCCTCCAGTAATGTGCCATATAGTGGTATCATCTACTTGACAGTGCTGTTTGAGAGATGAATTGGTGACCAGTTGGTGAACAGTACGAGGAATACAGCAATGGGCTCAACACACAGCCTTGTGGGACACCCATGCTGAGTGTGGTGAAAATATCTCTTTTATATTTTCTATAGCATTTTGTCTCAAGCTATTTTTATTTGGACCAAATATTTTTATTTGTTTAAACCATTCATTTTTTTAGTCTATCTGTGGTTTATCTTTGCATCACAGTTCATTTTAAGATATTCAGCCACCCTTCATCAATTTTCATTACTCACTTTTTCATGCACGATTACATGATACTCGCTGCTGATCTTCAGTGATCAGTGTGAGTGGCAAGGTACATCCTGGATGGGTCATCACCAGTCCATCACAGGACTAGAAACAAACGAAACTAACAACAGCTCTCACACCTAATTTAGAGATACCAGTCAGCCTAACATGCATGTTTTTGGTCTGTGGGAGGAAACCAAACCCGCGCATGCATGGAGAGAACTTGCAAAGTCCACCCAGATAGAACAAATGTAGGTTTAAAAGTTTCTTCTAAGTATCAGGGGTACTTGTCTCATGATGTTATTTCATTTAAGGGATAGTTCAACTTGTCTGATGTTGGGTTTTATGGAACGGTTATGAAAAATAAACATCTCGCTCTGAACAGCCTTAATTTGTGTGTGTATGGGGGAGGGGTAATTTTGACCAGCCTGACAAGCTAACAGTGTGTCCTAGACCAAAGTGCTCTCTTAAAACAATTCTTAAACATCTCACAGAGATTCACAGTCTCATTAACAAGCCCACTGATTTAGCATTACACTGCTATTCTGGCTGAAATATTATGATAATCCTGATAGTCTCTCAAGGCTGCACCAGAAGTGCTACAGCTAGCTGCTTCTGCTGCAATTTCAATTTACAAACAGCCACATAATGTAATGTAAGTAACCATGTAATGCATCACAATCAGGCTTTCTCAAAATAGCGTTAGTAAGTGTTTGCATCATCGCTCATCAATCTTTTCAGAATTAAACTTTGTTTCTTTGAACCAAACAGCTTTTTATTCTAAACAAATAACATTGGAAAATAAAACTTATATATATATATATATATATATATAATTATAATAAATGCAGAAAATAAATCCCCGCGTGTTATTATTGTTTAGTTCCCACGTGGAGGGACTGCCGCTCCAAACTGACACACGACCACACTTTCCCACCACGCGAGTGCCTCCTTGAAGCGCGCAAAGTGGGAGGAGGAGGGTGGCGCGCGCGTCAGCTCACAGGGCACGAGGCGGGCGGACCGCGGGGTGAGGATCATGCGTGGTCCACGCGCTGGAAGTGGGTTAGAGCGAGCGGCGGAGCTGGAAGGAGCTGACACGAGGAGGAGGAGAAGCGCTTCTATTCAGATTGATCATTCACAAACAGTCAGGAGCTGCAGAGGAGGATAAACAACAACAACAACAGAACCACTCTTTTTATTTATTCTTTCACGGAGTGTGAAGAGAAACTAGAATCCATGCGAGCATTAGTTGTGACAGTTCTCTCTGGTTTGGAGCTCATCATAAGAACAACTGCTCATTGGTAGTTTATTTTTTATTTTGTTTCCTTTTTTTTTTTTTGCGCTTGGAGTTAAATATTCATGTTCAGAAGAGTTGACTAGACTTCACCGCCAAAATGAGAGGTGAGTTTCTGTTGCATTCTGTATACATTTACTCGTTTTTGTACACAAAACAACTTTTTGGTTTGCAACCATGTCCAAGTCCAAAGTGCGCGAGCTGCAGGCGCGCACAGAAACATAGTCAATAATAATAATAATAATAATAATAATAATAATAATAATAATAATAATAATAATTTTAAAAGAATAACTTGCAGCCTTTAAAACTTACATGGGTTTATTTAACATAAAATCACAAGTAATTATTCCAATCTGTTCTGATGTGCTCTCCATAATAATGTGATATTTTGTTTGTTAGTTTGTTTGTTTATTATGAGTAAGCCGCTGACTCCAGTTATGTAAGACTGAGGGAAGGGAGGTGAGCCCAGTGATTCATGTGCTGTCATGTTGCAGCAGGGATTGCTATCTCTAAATAAAAAGTCTGTTTTCATTTATCTATCATTTCTTTTTTTTACCCTTAGAGAAACGTGATTAAATTTATTTTAAATTTAAAGCAAGGTTTTGTGTGCGTCAGCCATTAGCTTCTTCTTGTTTAAGGGAAATGCTTGCAGATGTGCTTTAAAGGTGCAGATGTGATTTGATTTCCCTCCATCACAGTGATGATGGGTCAGTTTGTGTTGTGTTGTCCGTACCAGGGGTACGGTGACCAGTGAGAATAAGGAGGGCCAGGAGGTGATTGACCTAGATTTGTCATTGAGGATTAGTGTGTATATGTGTGTGTTCAATGGGGGTGGGGGGGGGGGGGGGGATGGGGGCGTGCTGTGTCATCATCACCAATGAATTAACTAATGCTAATAGTTGAAAAAAGTTTTCTAGGAAGTCCTTTTTAAGGTATTTCAATGTGAGCTTTACTCGAAGGGCTCAAATTTACTTGCAAATAAAATCATTTTCAAGTTAAATGCTGTCACAAAGATTTGTTAATCACATATATGCTATTTATAATAGCATTCGCCTTTTAGATTTGTTTCGCCATGAGCATCATGCACTGCTGTGACAAGCAGGATATGGGCACAGCAAGCTGCATGAAGCACAGCAGGATTCAGTTCATCCCAGTGTCCGCGGGTGCTCACATCAACTTGAGCAGTGGTTCCCAAACATTTCAGATAAGGATCGAAATAAAATAGTATGAGACTTGTAGGTCCCAAGTACTGTATGGTTATAGAACATATTCATTTAAACATGGGCGTAATGACAACGAAGAGAGTCCTAGCTGCAATTTTTAATTCATTCTTCTCAGTTACAAAAAAAACCCCAAAACAATTACGATTCCTTTTTTTTTTTAGCACTGGAGAAGGATCCCAGCTTTGAGAACCATTGAACAATAGGGAGCGTCATTACAGTCAAACATACGACTTGGCAAAAAAAATAAAAATAATAAATTACAATATATGGGAAAAATAAGAGCAGTTAAAATGCATAACCAATAGCTTTTATTTAGTTTTTCATAATGTTCATTCATGTGAACTTTTAACTGGGAGGTATATGTGATTGAAGCAAAAAAAAAACAAAAAAACACATAAAGCAATCCTACAATCTGTGCTTTGAGAAGCTTCAGTGTGATGATAAAGTTGTGATAGGTTTGAAGTGGAGAGTTTACGTTCTGCTCTCCAAGGACATCGCTGCGCTGAGCTCCCCCTCAGATATCTGTTGAGAGAACAGCCTTGGGGAAGTTAACAGCCAAGGTGCCCTTTTCCCTCTGACAACTGCCGGCTCAGATTCTGTTACTCTTATGTAAAGTTGAGTCCACATAACTATCAGTACCAGCAAACTGTTGAAATCTATTGAGCTATCTGTGTGATATGTAGACTGTGACTGCAGATGGAGATTAATTCATGAATTAACTCTTTATGATTTGTTTAGACTCCACTGGGGCTTGATGCGGTGCCGTTTTGATAGCGGATATCTGTTTTCAAAGAATGCACATAGATAGCAAATCAAGAGAGATTTGAGCTCAAAGTGATTTTGATTGTGATGGTTTCACTGTGGTTTGATGAAAAATGCAAACTTCAAACTGGATTTCTGTGTTTGAGGTTTTTTTTTTTTTTTTTTTTTTTTTTTTGCAGATGCCCGTTGAGGTTTAGGCTTAAAGAGTGCCACGGTCATATGAATGCATTGCATCTTTTCTTATCAGTGGTGCAGCATCACAGCATGTGGCATGGTTTCTTTGTTCAGTATGCACAATTAAAGGAATAAAAAGCAGGAAAGCAAATTTCTAATTTCCAAACAGGGAACTGCATGCCGCCCATCAAACTCTATTAAAACAATAACTATATGAAAAAGTTGAGAAAAATAAATGTTTTAGGGTTTATATGAGAGAATACAACACTGCTGGAATTGCTTTTTGCCGCAAGCATCTTCCCTCACTTCTGAAAATTGGACAACTTTTAAAACCCTGCAGATTTTAACAAACACATTTTGATTTCAGGTGTATCAAGATAAACCCTACTCATGCCATGCATTTTTCAAAGTGTGAGTTTACCGTCAGGAAATATTCGAGTCCTCGCCAAATCTCAATATGTGAACCATAATTATGGTTCACAAACTGAAACATAACGATTGGCAGGCGGAAGTGCTGAAAATGAATAGCCTGAGGGCCAACCTCATACATATATTAATATACTTTTGTGCACAATGTCCCTTTGTTGGAAAACTGCTCTTGTGATACGTTGCACAGCAACACTATATGATGTTCTTTTAAGAATATAGGTTAAACACACACTACGGCAGGTAAATGTAAATGCAAGGTAAATAGGACTTTGGAGTCTGATTAGCTGAGTATGAGAGGACAAAGTCTCAGTAACTGAAGGTTTACAGCACTGATGAAGAAACTCAGTCACTGAATAGTTGAACAGATCTCATATTTTCTCCTGTGTAAAGTCAGAAATGTCTCCTTTGAACTTCAAAATTGTTTCCGTCTCAAGTTCTATCCAAAATTACTGAATTGTAACATGTTTTGAATAAACTTTGTAGAGAAAGAGAAGTGATATTAAGCAAATCAACCACCTGTCTGCATTTAAACTGAGAATTATTTGTCATCGGGGCAGAACTAAACCAACATCGATCCCAGCTATGATTAAATTTTGGTTTTCCTGGAAGAAAGATTATTCAAGGGTTTTCTGGGTAAGCTCAAGTCAGAATGAAGGAGACCTCTTGTTCAGACCCAGACAGCTTTGCTATATCTTTGAAACCTTTAAGCAAACACACTCAACGCTGCTTTAGCGTTATAAACGTATAACATGCTGCTAATGACACGAAACAGTGACGTTCGGTGGCCTGAACTTTGCAACATTCGTCAGCCAACAGACCAGAAAGAAATCTCCCGTCAGCCAATTTCATCAGAGTAAAAATAGATTTATGGTCCAGCTCAAACAGAGCTGAAATTTCACACAAATGCTTGACATGCTGCAACAAGCTGAACAGCCACTGTGAGCTATATTTGTCCCCGTGCCTTCAGCTGACTGTGCTAGATGTTTGTGCAAATAGTCCCAGATGTTGCACCACATCATGTAAAACCTTTTGGATCTGGCTCTACACTTCTAGCTTCCTCTCATGGGGTTGTCTTTCCAAACCAAATGGATGCATCCGTCCTCTCCTTAACTACTACCTTAAAACCTGCAAGAAACCAGATTGTGCTTTTTGATGAGGTTTGCCATCACAGCCCCCCCCCCCCCATCTATCCCTGTTCGCTGAATGGAAACTGTGTCAGTGGAGCAATTCCTGTTCACTGGTTCTGCCTGTATCAATCAGCTGACTGGCAGGTGAGGCGACAAGTCACAAGCGCAGCCTCTAGCTCTGCGGCCAATCAGAGCGCAGAGAGGGTGGCCACCCCGTTGCCAAGACAACCACCTCTGAATGAGGGCGTTCATGAAACACACCAGATGGGAGTTATATAACAGGTTGTAGTGGGGAGGCGGGAGAGAGGAGGACAGAAGGGGAGGGTGGGGATAAAGGGAGCTGTGGAGAAAGGGATTTTTTCCATTGGCCTTTATTTATTTATATCGCTCGGTTGCATTTTGTTTGTTGGGACATTTTTCAAACTAAGTTGCTAAAAACCTGCCATTTGCATTGCAGGAAAAGAATATTTCAGGAGGAAAACATTGGGCGTATTTCTGTTCCCCAAGTCAGAATCAAAGACCAGTGTCAGTCAGTAACCTTGTGTGCTTTTCACTCGGTCTGTGACGCACACGTTTCTGCTCGCAGAGTGACTCACGATTGATTGGATTTGAGTATTTTATCAAAGTGCCTTTAGAAAACTGATTTTCTGGAGAGCCGTGAAGACCCATTAAATCCTATTTTGTGATTTAACAGGTTACCTAATATCCTTGAGTGACCTGGCAAAAAGGCATTAGTAATTGTTCGGCACTCGCTGGACAAGCAGTAAAACATTTTTATATGAGAAGGCAGCTCGTTGGAGTTGTGGGCCACAAACACCATTAGGGCTGGGTGTATGGGTGCTGATTGCTTTGTTGAGATGGACATGGTTTAACAAAAGTATTCCAATTATTAATGAAACCTCCATAGAAATAAAAATATAAATGTGCTTGTTTGTTTTGGTTTGGCCTCAGTCTGTGCTGGGCGAACACCGACTGAAACAAAGAGAAACACTACGATTGGTTGAATCAAATAGTAATTCTGCGCTTTGACTGCTTGAAGGTTTTTATTACTTTCAAGGTGTGTAGTTGAAACTCAAAGAACAGTTGCGTTCATCTTGTTCCAATTCATGCTGCAAAAGCATTAGAAAGTAAACTGGTTTCACACTTGTTTTTATTTCCTTCTTGAATAACTTAAAAATGGCAGCATCTTAATCGTGACACCCGAAGACATCGGAGCTGGGCGAAGGCCCCCGATCGACGCCTTTGGTTACAGTCGTACTCCCAGATGGACCTGGCATGGCACAGTTCTTTTGTGCAACATTTTGCTCATCCTGAATGAGGAGCGTCAGGGCGAGAGAGGCCTGTGAAACTTTATAACCCCAGGCTTCAAGCTAATGCAATTGAGCTGCTATTCTGGGGCTGAGGAGGCCCGGCTACTTAGACAAACAGCATAATGAAAAGAACAGGCTGTGCTTGATTAAGAAGGCTCAGGCTTCCACAATGAGCACAAGATCTATAATGTATACACAGTTCAGTTTGCATTCTTCACACTCCTCTGGTTTCCTTACAGTCCTTCCTTACACTCATTATTATTACTTAAGTTTTAAACTATAAAAATGCACAAATTGGAATAATCAAATAATCATTTTGAACGCAGCAAGCTTGGAGGACTTATTTGTGTTGAAAATCTTGGCTGAGTAAATATTGATCTGTTATAAACTGCCAGCTTCGTTTGATACGGCTGAAGAGATTTATTGATAATATCTGCAATAAAAAGCAAACGTTGAATGTTCAGTGAGTGTTTCTGTCACGAATAGGCCCTGTGAGCGGAGATTTCCATGTTTGGTTATATTCATTTAGAATAACGACCTAAAATATTAAACAATAATTTATGAGTAATGATTATAATAATTATGATTTATAAATATGTATCTATTTTAATAGACTTAATCAATCATTTCTTAAATTAGATTGCTCAAATTGTTTGTAAAATAAGAAAAATAAAGTGTCACGTTTTGCCAGGGTTCATTGAGATCGTAAAGTTTTGTTTACCCAACTGTGAAGATGTTCAAAAGTATTTAGTGATAAAAATGGAAAACAGCACATTTTTACTTTATGAGTGTTTGTTTTAAAAGAACACACCTCTGTAATTACCTAATGACATGTTCTATTTGCGTCTTTCTTTTTCTTTGTAGCTCAAATAGAAATAATTCCTTGTAAAATCTGTGGGGACAAATCATCAGGCATTCACTACGGTGTCATCACCTGTGAGGGCTGCAAGGTGAGTTCAGAACCAAGCTGTAAAAAGGAAAATACAAAACTGTAAAATACTTCAAAATAACCACCGAATCAGCCATTTGCTACCTTTGTAAAGTTCACATCTTGCTTGTGTTTTGTGTTTGTGCAGGGCTTTTTTCGGCGCAGCCAGCAAAACAATGCTATGTACTCGTGCTCACGGCAGAGGAACTGCCTCATTGACCGGACCAACCGTAATCGCTGTCAGCACTGCAGGCTGCAGAAATGTCTCGCACTCGGCATGAGCCGCGATGGTGAGTTCAGTTTTCACGTTATACTTGGTTGGAACTCGTCACTAAAAAGCGTGTTTGTGTTTGTTAGCAAAATATTCCATAAACCACTTGACATAATGAAACTCTTAGAAATTTATACTTGGATGTGCGGCTTACTAGTTAACTTTGGGAGTTTACCTGAGTCAAGATGGTTGCCATGAGCTGTGTGGGTGGCTGTGGCTGAGAGGTTAGAGCAGTCATCCTCCAATGCAAGAGTTGGGGGTTTGATTCCAGCAGTCACATGCCAAAGTGTCTCTGGGCAAGACACTGAACTCCTCATTGCCTCCGATGTGTGTCCCATCGGTGCATGAATGTGATAAAGCACTGATTATTCTTTGTATAGATCTAGTAGAGTGCTGTATGAATGGGTAAATGAGAACACAGATTGTGTTGTAAAGCACTTTGAGTATCTTGATAAGATAAAAAGCTCTATATAAATACTGTCCATTTATCATGAGCTGTTTGCCTTAGAAAACACAATAATGACTATGTCGGTCGCTTTTAAAGGTATTGAACTGAAATTTGAAGTGTTCGCAGCTGAGAGTTAGTCACAACCCTTACTCTGAACTTTGTCTAAATCTCTGAAAGACCATCAGTGATGCACATTCAGTCAAGTAATGCTAGGCCTTTCATGTACTTATACTCTCCCAATGCTCGCATGTGCTGAGTAAAATGCCACTTTAAAGTTAAGAAATGTTACATTTCTGTACTGTCCTGTTGCAGCTGTGAAGTTTGGTCGCATGTCCAAAAAGCTGCGTGACAGCCTGTACGCAGAGGTCCAGAAACACCAACAGTCCCAGGAGTGTGCCGGAGTCGGTGCCCGCGAGGACAACAGTGAAGTGGCCGACCACAACTGCACGTACAGGAGAGGCTCCAGCGCGGCCCTCAGCGACCTGGATGACATCACCACCCTGCCTGAAGGCTTGCTTTTCGACCTGCCGCTGACACCGGAAGATGGCGGGGGAGAGTACTGTAACCTGGACATGCTGGGAGGAAGTGCAGGCAGCAGCTCATCCTCTCAAAGCTCACCGGAGCAGAACAGCTTGGACTTTGCTGATGGGAACAACAGTATCAAGCACGAGTACCAATTGTTGCACGATTCTGGACTCTTCTCACACGCAATCCTCAACCCTGTGCCAGAGGGCTGCTCCCTGCTGGAGATAGGTCAGTAATAACTCCACTGACTGTGAAAAATGGTTATGAACTCTAAATATGTTCTTAAAACATCAGCGATGCGGGTTGAATACAGAGATAAAATGAGATGTTCCTTCATTTAGAGCGTATAACCCAGAGTGTGATGAAGTCCCACGTTGAGACAAGCCAGTACAGCACAGAGGAGCTGAAGAGGATGGCATGGAGCTTGTACAGCACAGAAGAAACCCGCTCGTACCAAACCAAGGTGAGCGTTAAACTCATATCTGTTCCAGTGAATTAAACACATGACAGAACCTCATCCACAGGATTTATGAACAACCAAGTTTTGAAGAAAGTATTTAATTAACTTCTTAACATGCTGTAGATTTTAAGTAAACTGCAAGCTGAACTCTAAATTTCAAGTTTCTATTTAGAAAAAATGTCATAATTACAGGCAAACAGATCTCGGATCTCTACAATAAATCAGTCTGGAGAAATCCTTTGTACTTACGCAGATGAATGGCATGCTTTAGTTTGGCAGTCACTTAAATGACAGCAACACTTCAAAATCAAACGTCTTCTCACTAAACAGGCATTTTTATGTGTTTCTGGGTGTGCACCTTGGGGTAATGTGTCACTCAGACATTCAGTTCAATTTCAGTAACCGTCAATCCAAAGAAAGCAATGAAACACAACTTGTCTGAAAGGAGCTGCTGGCCTCACGGGACCTTTCTGTGCACTTTTCTCTTCCAGTCAGCTGAGGTGATGTGGCAGCAGTGTGCCATGCACATCACCAATGCAATCCAGTATATAGTGGAGTTTGCAAAGCGCATCTCTGGATTCATGGACCTCTGTCAGAATGATCAGATTATCCTCCTCAAAGCAGGTCAGTGCACGACACCAACTTCTCAGCCCTGCAGGCTACAATCAGTTCTCCACAGCCAACACTGTCTGTTCAAGCTCAGTTGGTAAAAAGATACATGTCATGTTAGCTGTCGGGGGTGGATCACTTGCAGAGTGACTGGAAAAGGTGAATGGTTGTTCTTCCTCTGAAAAATGGCTGCTTTGTTTTAATAACAAAGGAACAAATCGATCCTCTAATCAAATATACCTCATGTGTTTCAGGAGCAGCACCCTTCTTCAGACAACCAAACGTTTTTAGTACTTGTGTAACTTTTTGAGTTTACATCTATAAAAGGTTAACTAGTCTGAAGAACAATGAGCCCAAAACAATGCAAAAAAGTTTTACACATGAGGGTTTTTTTCTGTGCTTGAATCAAAGTGTTCCCTTTTGGTCCAGCACCCATTCCAATCCATTTTTAGACAGCTTTATGATATATATGTTTCATTATACAGCTTCTTCCATGCTGCTTCCTTTGCATCACACCATAACAATGTCAACTTAAATCGTAAACCTCCACAGTATGTCTAATCTATGTAAACAGGAAGTTAAAATATATGTGGTTTTTTTTACAACGACATCTTCAAAACAACAAACCAATCATAATGTGGAACTCCTTTCAGCAAAAAAAAAAAACAACCAAAAAAGCCTATAGCTCCTATATAGATAGCTCCAATGTTTTACAGTTGGTTTATACTGAAAGATAATGGACAGTTAATATCTGTCCTGTTGTATAAACTTTTCTGAATGGACTCCATGGAGAAAAAAGTTGTTTAATTCTGGATAGATTGACAAACTAATGGCTAGTCTGAGAGGGGTCGAGACCAAAATGTTGTTGCTGCTTTAAAACAACTCAAATCACACAGAAATGTCACTTCATGCAAGCTCAAACCTTCATATTGCAGTCAGTTTCACAGTACAGTAGTCCCTCGCTTATCACGGGAGATCCGTGCCCTGAAGACCTGCGATAAGTGAAAAACCACCAAGTAGGAATAGTAGTACAAGTAGTAAGTAGTAGTTTATTTTAGTATATTATATATGCATTTTAAACCATTCCCACACTCTTGCAATATTCTATACAATGTTTCTAAACTCGCTCTAAAAGAGCACAGAATGTCACGATGTCAGCTCTCTGCCTCGCTGCTCTTTGCCACCTGCCAGAGCTCTTGGCCACGCCCACTTCTCCGCTGCAGAGCGAAGATATGACACGCTGCAGGAGGAAGCTTCTCCTGCAGCAGGTGCTAAATAATTAAAATTAATTTATTTTAAATTAAAAACTCCATGTCGATAGTGCGTCTCATCCGTCAATCAGTCAATTGTGTGTCATGTCCAATCTTACTTTGAAAAACCGCGATAGAGCAAGTACGCGAAAAACGAACCGCGAAGTAGCGAGGGACTACTGTGCATGTTTATTTGCATTAAAAATTGTTTGCAAGCACAAATATTAACAGCTAGCTGTAGCGAACTCAGATCAATCAAAGAACCATCCACAACAAGTAAGATCAACGGCGTCAGAAGCATCCGTAATGTGGGGGGGACACAATGATGTGTGTAGGTGTGTGCGCGCGCGACTAACACAGAGATGTCTCCATCTCCTCCACCTGTGCGCGTTTTCTGCCGAAGCAGAAGGAGACGCACAGAAACACTGCAGGTGTTACACCATATTCTGTGACCATGGTATATTGTGACCATGGCAACAGGCTTCTGTGTTTAGAGTTGGAAGTAGCCAGGAAAACCTGGAGTGGAGTTTTAGTGGTTTGAGTATTCTCCTATTAATCAAGTGGAATGGATTTGTTCAGGAAGAAAGAGAAACTGCGCCGCCTGAACTAATGTTTCATAGAAAAAGTGAGGGGGTCCAAATGAACGTTTTTGGAATGTGGGGGGACTTGTCCCCTTCACATATAATGGTTGTGACGCCTATGAGTTAGATAAGAATTATCCATAACATTTCCACAGAATTCATTTAATTTAACACCCAAAAGCAAAACTAAAGCTCTCAATACATTTTACTAACACACACGGTACATTTATAAAAACATCCTAAAACTAAACGTTACTTTTCCCTCATATAATGTGCTTGAAATGAAAGAAAGTCAAAGATTGAGTAGAAAATGTGAAGTCTTGTAAAAGAAGAGTTGTGATGTTTTTATCATTAATCAAACATTTGATACGTTTTACATCATTTTAATTAAAGTGCATCACAGCCGATAGTCATCAGCTGTGATACAAAGAATAAACTGGGCTGGTTCCTACGCCAGGACATCACTCTACCTTCAGGCAACCACATGATCACAAACAAAAAACAGTTCTGCATTTGAATTGATGGGCTGTGGCCCGGCAGCTTTCCCAAACTCACGCCCACAGTATATTGTGTTGTAAACATTTTTGTTGCAAACAACAGCAGAAAATATTTTCATAATTGCAAAAGAGGTGTGCACATAAAGTACTAACCATCACAGTAAATAAATGATGTTCTCATCACACGGAATATCAAAGCGTCCTCAGACGCCAGGTTAAAGCTTGAACAAAATGTCGTCCCAGTGAAAGAGAACGTGCACGCAGCTGTTTTCAAAGTGCACGTAAAGTTTGGTCACTAGTTCCAGGTTGATAAAGTTTCATTTGTATGTAGTAGACTTTAAAAGTGTTGGGTGACCGCCCAGCCAAAGCGTAAACACACTGCAGAATAAAATCAGCTTCTACATGAAGGGTGTCCAAAGTGCGGTGCGAGGGCCATTTGTGGCCCTTGGAGGTGTTGAACTTCACGAATTGTAGAGTTCTGGCTCAAAGGCTTAAGAGGCTGATGCAAATGCAGACCTTCTGTAAATAATTGTGATCCTTTTTATACAATTATATTTAACTTTTAGGGTTTATTTGTTTATTCATTTAAATTTATTTTTTATTTCATGGTACACATACAGACTCTTACTAAGAAGTAGACTTTTGGATAAGCCTTGGTTAAATACAGCAAATGTTTTTAAAGCTTAAAAAAAAAAGCTGTTGATTTCATAAACGATCAGCAAACTGGGCATTTTAAAGGAATATAAAGTGACATCATCTACATACAACTTAATCTACTTTTTAAGTATCCTTCGAACTTTCTATGAATCTGTTTTAGTGACTTCCAGCTGTTCCCCTGAGGATAGACTAAAATGAACTTTCCAAACATGAGAAAACAAAAAAACAATAGACCCAACAAATGAAATTAATAAAAAATGAGGCTTTCAATGTTTTGGATTTACAACAATGTAGAACTCTTTCTCCACCAGCATTAGTGAACTTTTGTCCTTTCTCCAAAACATTGTTCACTTTGTTGAGTTTAAAAGTTTAAAAAAAGTCTATGTTTAAAACTCTTCGTGGCTCATTTCATCAGTACTTTCAGTTTGACAGGTCTGGCCCACATATGAAAAAGTTTGGACATGCCTGACCTACATCATGTGTGATGCCACTAAACAAAATAAAACTAACCTATATAACTAGCGAAACTAAAGCTAACAAATGAAAAGCAGTAGTTTTGGCACATTGAAATGAATCTTTGGTTTACGTACACCAGCTACTTTCAGTAAAGTTCGAACAAAATCATCATCTGCTGACCAGAAACTAATCAAAGCTAAGTTTTTTTCAGTCATCCAGTAAATTCTGTCTTGTCCAGTAAAAGTATTTTAGTCTTGCAGCCCAACAGCAGTGATCTGTGAGCTGCTGGGCACAGTGCTGGAACAAGATGCCCCAGATGTGAACATTTAAAAGTGACATTTCAGCACCTCCTCCATCAAACTCCTTTGACTCCGTTTAGTAATAAGATTATCGCTGAGCTCGTTCCTGTTGGACTCACCGAGCCATTCTCATCAAGAATAGTTTCACATCAAGAATAGTTTTGGTTAATGTGACATGCAACACGTTTAGCTGTTTGTTTCAAAAGTAGCCAAAGTTGTTTTATTTCTTTTTGAAGCAACATATTGCACATAGCTCATGGGTGTATCTGTGTGTGGACAGGCTGCATGGACGTTCTTCTGATCCGTATGTGCCGGGCCTACAACCCCATCAACAATACGTTGCTCTTCAATGGAAAGTTTGCCACTCCTCAGCTTTTTAAAGCTCTTGGTAAGTCAGCCGCGTATAAATATTCTGCAGAAATGTGACGGTGATTCCAGGTCACCTGAAATCACCCTCCGACTTCCTTGTTTGTCACAGTAATTGCAGTCAATACTTTCCGTTTGGATTATTTATTTATTTATCTCATTTCATGGCCATCATCTTCTCCACCCAAGGTTGCGACGACCTTGTGAGTGCAGTGTTCGACTTCGCCAAAAATCTGAGCCGTATCCAGATGTCTGAGGAGGAGATGGCGCTTTTCAGTGCTGCCGTGCTGCTGTCACCAGGTGAGATAAGGTTCCTGTTTCTACTAACTTCCAGTTCGTGATAAAACCCGTGAAACTGGTAACTGACAACCAAAGCATCGATCACACGTTTGGACCAAACCACAAACTCAACAGGGTGTGTACCGCATCGCTGCTCCTCCCACCCTCTTGGCGAAAAGCTACGGTTGGAACAGTTGACTCCTGGGAAATGTAGTCATTTTGACTTGTGTTAAAGTGAAAGCTTACTGAAAGAAAACTACAAAATAGCTGCGCCCGTTTTTTTTTTTGTTGTTGTTTGTTTGTTTGTTTCATTTTAATTTTTGGTTTTTGGTCGGTTCCCGCTCCTGTCTGCTCCCGTTAGCTTTCAGTCCGGTCACGTCCCGGTCACGTGAGTTATAATGAGGTTGACTCCGGTCCCGCCGGAATCCGGCCGGAATCCGGCCGGAATCACGTGACCCTCAGTACTCCCGAAAAAATGTCATCCTCTAGTGTGTAGCATTTATTCCAGTCCCCACAGTGTTACCGCTGCTGTTGCACAAGTCTGGCGAACACTAACCAACCTGATGCGCCCACTCACCTACATCCTAGTTACCTGGCATGACTCTTCCTAAAAATAAATAAAAATGTCCACTGTAGCTGTTTGCCCTTGTTGAACGTAGAAGCAGTTTCGTCGTTAGACGCGCTTCAAACCGCTGCCATGAAAACCAACAACTTCCCTGTTTGTGTGTTTATTACATCCCATTTAGTAAACACTTTCTTTAAAGCTAATGTTAAAATAAATAGTAATATAATGAAAAGGTTTGTGATAGTTTTGTCCTGGAAGAGTTTGAATATTTTAGTGAGTGCTCAGAATACTGGAGCAATGTTAAACGAAACAGGCCAGCAAAGAGAAAAAAAAACATACATTTTTATTTTTTGTTAAAAGTTGAAGGGATAGTTCACATCTGTTGTAGTTATTTCGTTATATGTTAAAGTGATCCCCCCCCCCACCACCACCACCACCACCACCCCCAAGTGGGATTCAGTGGAAAGGTTACGAAAAATCAATATGTTACCTGTTCTGGATAGCTCTTTGGAGAAATGTGGTTTGATTCTGACTGAATTGACGAGCTAAAGCAATTTATTTTCCAATTTTAGATCTGTTCATGTCAACTCTAAATAGTGAACCATTACTTGCACATGTGGTTTGGCACTGCAGAGTTGTTCCAACAGATATATTATAATATTCTTGCTCCAGTTGCCCCAAACTGCACCAAAAAGGATACCGCTAGTTGATATTGCTGTTATATTTCTCATAAATAACTATAGAATTTTATGTAAAGAATCACGTCATTCCAAATTGACAACGATGTATTAGTTTATAAAATTTCTATAAACTAATATGGCATATTTGAGAGTGTACTAGCCCACTTGTACTACTTGGTAGCCTTTTACTCTGGTCAAAATTAAACTCTTACTTCAAACTGAGACTATCTACCACAGGTTATATATTAATTGTTCAAAATATTAAAACAGAACCCCACTTTTAAAATGTGATCTATTCTTTTACTAGTGATTACATTTATTAATCATGCCCACAAATGCAGTCTGTATGCACAATTGTGACAAATGGAATATTTGTTGTTAAAATTATGTTTAAATTACTTTGAAAGAATAATGCTGTCATCAGTGAGGTTGGTCATATTCAGATGTGCCTTAGCCTGCCTGAAGCCTGAAGTCCTGCTAAGTACAATATAT